TCGCGTTTCGAAATATATATATATATATATATATGTTACTATTTCTACTTCGGGAACAAAAATTTGGCATCGGTTGTCGGGAGTGTAATTGGCTTGACGCAAATTAAATTCCTAGGTAACTTTTTTTTTTACGATTTAAAAGTCCCACATTTTGCAGCAATTGTCGAAGACACTAATGTCGAAAATATAGCTATGAAAATTGGCATGTATAATACGTTTTATGACAATCCTAGTTTGCGTTAGAAGTATTGTGGTTTTGGGTTTGAAGGGAGCCTGCAAGTTTAGCTTTCAGTATTAAAACAGGACAACACTCGGCTCCTGTTGAGCGCTATTCATATAAACTTCACGAATAGATATTTATTGGTGAAATAATGAAATCACGTATTTTACAACTGTGTGTCCCGGGCCGTGTTGCACTTCAACTGATGCGATCTTGGCCGGTTAATTTCCAGAAAGAATAAAACAATTGGAGTCCTCAAATTTTGACTCATTTTACTTCAAAGCCAGGCAAAGAGACGTGAACACCGTGGATAATGTCGGACATGACAGAGTTGCTGCTACCAATAGTTAAACGCTGAAGTACATGGCAATGCGAAAATGCTGATTGGTTCAGCTTGTTCGTGCACACTAATATATAATTCAGCAATGTACCGGTTTATTATAACTTATCAATGCTTTACCAAATATGTGTTCAATGATTATGAGCTATGTAGTATTGTTATTCGTACTGGGTTTAAAATATATTGACTTGGAACGAAATTGTAATACAACCCTCACATGTACATTGTGCACACATCTTTACAATCGCTGACAGAGGGCGCTACATACAGTGGTGCCACAATTCTTACACAATATTGTCACACCAACAATACAATATATAATAGCGTATCTCTGTTTGAACACGCCTTTCTTTGTATTCCTATAAAATGAAGAAAGCATGGTATTCCATAATTTGTGGAAGTTGTTTCTGACTTTGCAGAACACACCCAAAGGAACTTGCAAACGCACAATTTAACCCATCCTGAAAAAATAATTAAATCAAGTATTATTATATCGATTACAAAATTAAATACACAAACTTCTAGTAAAAAATATTTGAACTCAGAAAAGATAATCAGCACTAAATATTTAAAAACAATATTTTACGACTTGGAAATTTGAATAAATATTGAATAATTAATAATCGGACAGGACAATGTCAAAGCAGTGTCACTGGTTTGGTATTTAGGTAAACGTATTATTTTGAACTAAAATGATGTATGAGTGTTTCAAGCAATCTCGAAGTGTTTTGAAATCATATAATAACACACTGTTGGCAACACGCAAAACAGCCAGGACTGAACTCATTCCGGCTACTGTACATCGCAACAACGTTCTCCCTTATATCAGTGTCGTATGGTTTATTGTTATTTTTTTTATCGCGTGAATCATACTCAACAAGGAACTAATCTCAGCCTGTCGATTGTTTTTATATTTTGTCTTGTTAAACTCCAATACTATGTTACCGAACTTATAAAATAAAGCAAATTTCTTAAATATTCTGGAGTGTCTTGCAGGACCTCTGTCAGAGAAACATCGTCTTCCAATTACTGATCTTTTGTTGTAAATAAAAACGATCAAATATCGATGGAAATCCGTCTGACAATTTGTTCAAGATCCCTCAGGCATTTCTGATGTTAACCTGTCATTGATGTTGAAAGTCAGAATGATGGCATCTAGTTCACCACCTTCCTTGTTTGCGATCTCGGTACACTTGCTGATTTCCAGAGTCACAGACTTCGGAGTTGGACCACTCTGTTCCTTATTAGTGCTGCCATCGCGTAGAAGTGACGATCAGGTTATTTTCACCGCTGTTTGTCCCCCAGTTTCGTGTCGACTTTTTCACCTGTGTCAAGAACACAATGTATAAATAGGGTAAATTCATTATTAGAGATCTAGACGTCGCCACGACCGACTCTCCTTGCTTGTTCGCTTCCCGCAGAAATGTATCGTGAAGCAAGAAGGAGAAAAGTCAAAGAAAAGATTATAGCGGACCAGGCTGTAGTGACAGGGAGTGGAGAGATTGCAAATGGATTCAACATTAAAATCATTAGAAGTATCATTTCAATAATTATAGAATTTGGACAGAAAGCGCTCGTATTATCCAGCCAAAATGATATTCGAGATCAGTCTTAATCATTGTCCAAAGGAATAGTCCTAACATTGTTCATTAATCTATTCTGCCTCTAATCATGACAGTGGACGTTTTAAACCATGTCATTGCATATATTTATATAAAAACGATTATAATTCACACAAGATTACATTTTTAAAATTTCACTGAAGCAAGCCATTCGTTCGATTCAGGCAACATTTTTATCTTTATTATATATATCTACAATAATATTTTACATATTTCGGATTTGAATATCGCATTGTTTGAAACAATAATGATAATTAATTAAACATTACACAATTTTTCAGATTTTGAGAGAAAAAATCAGAGCGAACGAGATGAATATTGTTAAAATTTTGTCCTGTTGATATGAGGTAATATTCGTTCAGGGGGCAGAATCTATGCCAGAAGAACTCTGGTTCTATACATATAGTTTTAAAATACCACACTTCCCATTTCAAGGGTCTATTATAAATAAGCATATTGAAAATAAGCAGTCAAACCATTTGACATAGATATATGGAAGATATGCTCATATACAGATTCGAGAATTTAGTGTAAACGGGATAACAATAGATTACATTTATTTTTAAAGAGCATAATTATATTTTTTTCCCGGGAATTTGATGTGCCTTGGGAAACTGCTCGAGACAAGACTATCACAACGGAAGAGATTTGATATACGTTAATGATAGAAGGGTGTTATGATGTTATTGTTCATTTCAGTTCATTACTCATCTGTTTTGAAGTGTCAATGTTTACAATTCTCGGGTATTGCATCCACAGTTTCAAGTTTTGGATTTCAGGAAACGCACTTATTCAGTTGCAAATAAGTCGAGGACGCTTCTTCATGCGATTGGTATTATTTTTTCATATATTATTTAACTATATATATATATATCTGTTTTTTTAAATGTTTTACTTACCTTATTAATCTTAATAGTTAGGAATAAATACTTGCTTCATTACGTAATTTGTCATATGATATCACTACTGTACAATAGTACAAATTGCTTGATCATGAAATACATCATTTGATATATATCGCCCATTACAATTTTCTAAAATGATAATTATTTTCTACCATGTTTCAAGTGGAAATACATTTAAAAATGTGTCTCTGTTATAATCACTTGTTAATATTTAGTGTGTGTTTGGCCTGAAAGCACTGTTCAATGTGTTGCGATGATAAATAGCTGTTTTAAAACACTTCTGTCGGAAACAGTTTTCAAAATGTGTGTATAGTGAAACCACTTTTTAAAGAGTTGTGATAGTGAACCTCTGTGGGTACACTTTTCTAAGAGTCGTTACGATAAACACTTTACAAAATGTATGTATCACTTTTAAAAGTGTTGTGATAATAAACACTTTCAAAATATGTTCCTGATCGAAACACTTTTCAATACGTGTTTCTATTGGAAACACTTTACATGATGCGTTTTGTGAAAAAAAAACAGATTATGTAGATTATAAACTCTTCAAGTATATGTTGTGCTATGTCAATTATTATTTCGGGTTATGTTGATAATATTATGTTGTGTATTTTGTCATATGTTACGTCGATTATTATGTCGTGCTATGTCGATTGTTATCGTTTTAAATCGATTATTATCGGGAAACATTCTATAGATTTGTGTGCGTGGGCTGTTTCTCTGCACAGAGTTGAGCGAGCAAAACATATTTTGGTGAGAGGGACAAGGGATTTTTGTATGGGTGCATATTGTTATTCCTATAGTGGGAAGTTTACAATGAACCACTAAACAATTCACGGAGTTTACTTTGGCTTATTCTTTTGTTGTCAATGTTTACATTCGGTACACCGCATATCAGGAGATCCATCAGCAAGTGGAACATCTTTCCGTCGCCTGGTGCAGAAGCTGTTTGACTAAAAACGTTTTCCAGTGTGGGAGGCATGCACGTACTACATTCAGTGGTAAAATGGGAACTGAAAATTAAATGGAAGGGTGGATTTGTAATTCCAGAGTTGGCGGACCGTTTCTCAAGTGAGTAAGAAAATGGCACAACCTTTGGGGTGCCTCCATTTTCGTTAATGACTTTCAAATTCGATAGGAACAATTACAGCATCTAATAATGTCAATGAAATTATGTAAAATCGCTCGAGCTCGTTGGTTGCTTCTGACCAAACCGTACTTTGTATTTATACATCAATGATACACAATCGTCTCAATACAAACTACCCCCTGCAATATGTTATTCACAATACTGACTCCAACATGGCTGATAATATCACTGTCGAAAATATGCAACATATGCTTTGCAACGAGAAGCTTTCTATGGCAGAGCGTTTTCGGGGAATATTCGCCCTGCATAATTTAGGTGGCAAGGAAGCCATAGATAGTTTGCTAACATGTCTAGACAACCCATCAGCACTGCTAAAACACGAGGCAGTATTTTGTATTGGACAGATACAAGACCCATACGCCATACCATATCTGATTAATGTACTGGAAAACACAAGTCAAGAACCAATAGTTCGACATGAAGCAGGTAAGAATTTTCACTAATCGCTCGTGTTTTACTGTTGCACTATCTGTCTATGTTTTAAAATGCAATTAGTTTCACAGCGTCTACTGAACCACCTTTTGATATCACTCAACCCCTTCTCCGACCGCCTTACATGACTTCAAAGTAAAATATGATAAAGTATTTTCCAGGATATAATAACTATTTTTTTCAATAACACTGTTTGATTCAAAGTAAAGCTTAAATCAATGTTATATCAAGTTACAAATAAAATATGTTGTTGTTTTTTACTACAGCTGAAGCACTTGGTGCTATTGGTTCCAACTAAGTGCTTAATATACTCAAAAGCTTAAAGTGCAGATGAAATGCCCATAAATACATTTCTCATTTTCGATCTGTGTCCCTCCGAAATGCACATTTATTAACTTTACTTGAGATACTTCTTGTGTTATAGCCACACTCCCTGGTGCAGTTGACTGTTTCCGGTTTTCCGACTTCTCCCGCCACGAAACACCAACTATGAGAGAAAGCTATACTCATACGCCATACTTTTGCAGTATTGCAGTATGGTATTATAGTATGTGCTCAGTACATACATGTTTTAAAGAAACAGACTCAAGACCAGTACAGTGTCGCGGTGGGTTTCAGAAAAGAGCGATAAGTCGTAAAAACCACTTGGCTTGTGCCAGAGTAATTTCTGAAGCATTTATTTGTAAAGAATGATTGTAATTGAAACATGCAATTTTTGTTGATCGCTTTATTCATTTTATACAAGTTCAATAATATTCTGATTTATATATTTCAAAATACGGATACAGAAGTGCGACGATGACATGAGTGCGAATGTGGTAGAAACCACAGCAGTGTGTTCTTTTGTTTCAATTTTTATATTCAGCCAATTAGAAGCTTTCCGTTAATTTCTTACATGGCTAGTACTGCAAGCTCTGTGTCATTCTTCCAAGTTGTATGTGTTATATCCTGTAATATCTCCTTGTACGTCTTCGGAATGTCAGAGCGGGCTTTCTGTTAGCAAATAAATAAGTTATTACAAGTATGTCTACTGTGGTGATTGGTGCTGATTGTGTAACAATTTTAAGATCCGGAATTTTGTTGATGATTGTTTGACTTCTTGTGTGACTTAGATCCCGTAGAAAAAAATCGTTAGTACACCCGTGCCAGTAACTGATTTTAATTTAGTTGTCTACAAATTGGTGAACTGTTTATTATTATTACCGATAATAGGTGTTAAATGGTGATTTTAAACCTGTGCAATCACAAGACCTTCGTTTAAACTTGCTTCGTGTGCGTAACTTTCTCGTATCTTAGTGACCATCTATGCTAGACTTGACAGATGTAGCATCTGAATCAGCCCTATACCAACAATCTTGATAGTCTGTGTTCATTATAGTACAATCTTCTTTGTTATATAAGCACATGTAGGCCAATGTAGCCAAACAACCACAAAACGTTAGAAACCACCATTTTGAACAGCTTTGAACGTTTTGGCTGCTTCCCCTGGTGACGTCACTGAGTATTTTTTATGTAAATTACAAGCTAATGAAGACTATATCGACGAGCCTAGTTTTGAGATAAAATGACATTGGCGTAGACTGAGTTTATAGCCATTTTTCATAAATTAATTAATTTTGTCATGAAACACATAAACCACAATAACATTCTCCAATTATAATTGGCTTTAGACAAGGAAATAGCAAACATTTCATCTTTAAATGCGTGATATTCAGCCGCATTTTGTTTCACGGTCAACAAATATCAAAATGCTTACTAAATTAGTGACCAGAAAAAATAATTTGAACGAATCAACTGATTGAACATACAGACACAGATGGACAAAACGAAGAAATAACAGCTACGAATATTCTATTGCAGGAGAACATGTTAGGTCGACCATCCACGTTCTACTTTGTTATAACTGTCACACACCACTAAAAATATTCACTCATTTTTTATACGTTTTATTTTATTGAAACTTAGATTGCTGAGACCTGTGAATTGGCACTGGCAAGAATCAACTGGTTGAATAGTAATAAACATATTCAAGTCGAGAATTCATACAAAAGTGTTGATCCTGCTCCAGCATCAGTTGACGACAATGTTGAGTCATTGAAAGCCACATTGCTGAATGAGTCTTTACCATTGTTTGATCGATATAGAGCAATGTTTGCATTAAGGAATAAGGCAGGCCAAAAATCAGTCTTTGCACTTGCTGAGGGTACGCATTGTTTTGATAGATTTATATTTGTACGTTTTATTTGTAACGCAACGAACTTTTCTGGATTTTGTAGTGTTAAAAAAACATTTACATGTCAGTATATATTTGAGAGACTAGTTACTATGGCAATGCTGATGACGTACTCAGACACACATATCTCGTGCAAATAAAAATGATCTACTCTTATACAAAAAAAACTTGTATGTGATATACTGAATTAAGAATAAAACTGAGGTTTTATAAAGTCCGATTTG